ACTGGAGGAGTAGTATGGTGAAGGGACTACCGAGGGTGTCTGAACAAAACTGTAGGATACACCTAGGTTAGAAGAATAATATGCATCTGTCGTGCGTAAGGTTTGTAGACCTGATTGATGCCCTTTTACATAATAGAAAAGTTTAATGTGTGCCGTAGATACACGTGCGATCAGGCGGACCCTTCCCTAGGGGGAGACCACGAGAGGGACTCCAAGAGGGATAAACAAGGAAGAAAAAAAAGAAATTTGCACCCAAAAGGAGGCCTCACAATGGGAACATGCTACACTCCAGCTTGCCTGTCTCCCAGATTCCTGTCTCCACAGCATAACAGGTATTGACCTATAGGACATGTTGACACTTCGGTGACTTTGTTTACATTGGAAACACCTATACCCCGTATTTAACATTTTTTTTTAATTTTTGTTTACTTACTAACTAACGGAAAGACACTCCTACGAAGACGAAAGGTATCGTATAATAGAGACTCTCACAAATTAGCGGGTTACGGTTGCAAGAAAATGGGATTTTCCGAGAGGGTTTATATTACATTGTCGTTTATATTGTCTACGTACTTTGACATTGTGCCATTGTTCACGGTGTAGTACAGATGTAGTGTCGTCCCTTCGTTGTTGCACTGATAAAGAGTTTTTGCGACTTATAACTTATGTAGTCAAAAATTTGTGCTAGAACTAACACCAAACGTTCTAAAAGGCCCCATGATTTGTTACTGCCACCAAACTTTCTCCTCCTCTTACGTACTTTTAAGTCTGTTCGACACTGACTTCACTCTCTCTCTTCTCTCTCCCTTCTCTTTTTAGTTCTAGTTTCTCTGCTTTTGGAGGGGAGCTTTTAAGTGTGTCGCACGGTTTGTGAATTTATCCAAAACACACAACACATGACACGTAGTTTCTAGTATCTAGTGGGATAACTTTTATGCATCAGGGTTGCAGTAGGCCTCAATTTACTTGGAAACGAAACATTAATTACGCACCTTATATCTTATACGTCCCAAAAGAGTACTAACAGGTGGGTAGATTAGAGTCATGCAGTCAGACTTCCGTGTAAACAGGTTGATACGCGGTATAGCGTAATGTCTTGTATAAAAGTAAATCAAAGGAACGATTTCGCTTTTAACTAGAACAAAACGTCATTTTCGGTGCTGTTAATGTGATTGTTGACCGAGACGATAACGTTTACAGCTTCGATTGGAGCTATGCCGTTTGTGGTCCTCCTGGGTTTTTACGATTTACATCAGAAAATCGAGACATAACAAGAGGAGGTTGTTAGCGTATTTATAAATCGCGATTTCAACGAATTTCCGTGGGATAGTACCGATAAAATCGTTATCGTATCCCGAGTCTATATCTTTTATATATTTTTTGTACAGGATTTTACAAACCGAGTTGTTCGATGGGTTGTCTAGTGGGTAAGATCGGGTACGGGTATTGGAGATAAGTGAAGGACAAAGTTTTCCCGACTAAACCCCATATTTCGGGAAATTTTTTTTTTTCCTCCCCGACTTCGAGTACCGCCCTGGGCCGAGTCTATGATTTGTTTACGCGGCACTATTTGCCGGTATAGTTACCTAATAGTTCCTAATAGATTACTTGTCATCCTCGAGTTTAGAAAGGGCAGCGGCAAATATGGTGTTCCACTCAAGGAAATGAAGGACGAAGAAGTGTGTGTACGAGAGGTCATGTCCAATCGAGACTGAATCGCTACGGATTACATTTGTGGCTGGTATATTTGCAGTTTGTAGGTTTTGTCAGCCGTAGAGCAGACTATCGTTGAAAAGACTAATCCCGGCCCAAGGGTGTAGTCTATAAGTGCAGTCTAGCGTGCGTTTGACCTATTCGAGGCACCAGAGGGGCAAAAATCTCTAAACCATGCCTCTTTTCTCTCTTCCAAAATAAAGAGCTGCGATGCGCACTAGGGGCTGTTGTGGGCCCCTGTGTACAACTACATATGTTCTGTAGTTTTTCACGTAACGTACTATCCGGGAAATCTTACGGGTTGATACAGTGGTCGACCAAATTGTTCGACAATCTAAAAGGTGTTGTCAACCTCAATACTAATTTAGCTAAAGTACTTCCAATAAAAGGTCTTTACCAAAAGATGTCAGAATAAGTGCCTAAGAATTTGTGGAAATACATAGAATGACGACCTTTATATTCGAATGACATGTCCGATATCTGTCAATTAACCTGATTAATTGAACTTAGGTACTACTGGACTTGTCCCGAATTGTAGTTGAACAAGTTTAGATCATATGTAAACTTTTCACCCTGGAGGTATACGCCCAACTAACCGTTTCTATTCCAATATAATATTTATTACGTTGTGAACCAACTTGAACCATCTGGTGTATGTCTAACGGATTTGTTATCTTTACAAATAAACTTTATACTGTATTGGACACGGGTTTCGTAGCCCAAGTATCTTCGCTTGTTGTGTGAGCAGACATTTAGTAGAATCACTTGTTATTGAGGGACTACATTCTCCAAGATTGGTTAGATCTTTTCGTTTTTGGACTTTGCACGGTTTTTATGTGAACAAACGTCCATGCCAGGATATTACGTGAATACGTAGTTTCTGTAGTACAAAATTTACAGGGTTGTCGAAAATTACCAGCGTTTGAAATTATACGATAATAGTGAAGAATCAATGAATTCCCCTGGTAGTACGTTTTACGTGAAACCATGCAGAACATATGTACTTTTACACAGGGGCCCAAGGTTCCCTTGAGTTGTTGTACAGTCTTTTGTGTTTGGGAGAGATAAGGAGTGTATGGGTTTAGCGAATTTTTTCCCCGACGTTGCCTAGACTATGCTGCTAGGGTCTAAACTTGTGAGATACTGAGTGTCTTCCCGCGATGGCCCCGATAAACCCGGTTTGAGGCGGTTAGTCTCTTGTCGGTGGCCTGTAACGGCAACACAGCAACAGGACCAGCCACGACTCAGGATCCCGGCGTAGATAGACACCAAAAAGACATTTGGGGGAAGCTGGGTTATTCGGAACATGAGAGTACACATGACAAATTGATTGAGAAGGAAGAAGTAAGGTGTCCTCCATTCATTTCATATGTTACATTACATTACATGTCACTTGTTAGACACTTTTATCCAAAGTGACTTACATACATTCAGTACTGTGGACAATCCCCACAGGAGCAATTTGGGGTGAAGTGTCTCAGGGACACAACGACATGCTGACTGCAGTGGGATTCAAACTTGCTATCCCCTGATTCGAAGTCCTGCCCACTATCCACTGAGCCACAGCCTCCCATATAATTGTGCAAAAACAGCAACTAATAGTGTTTGGTTCAAACACTTTAGCCTCATGAATGTGAACAAAGCAAACCTGACAGGCTGTTTGGTTGTTTTTAGAGATAATGGATGAATTTAATTGTATTCAACAAGCCTGCAGAGGGCCATTAACCACAGTAAATTATCTCCAAGGCTAGTTTGAAGAATTGTGTAAACTTTGACCGTTATACCCCTTAGTAACAATTACGTTTGTTAAATGAAGGTAATGTCGCCATTACAAAGTGTTTCTCTGCTTGAATATATATAGACATTTGTATTCATTGGGATAAACCCCTTGAGATGCACCATCTCGTTTTCAAGGGGGTCCAGACAATATCAACAACTTACAGACATACATAAACAAAAAGACAAAATGCAAAACATGACACACAAGACAAACCACATACAGTCTGTTAAGTGAAATTCAAGCAATGCACACAATCATTACAATTTGAGACAGTCGAGCAAATCAGTTTCATCGATATCATTTAATAACAAGTACAGACCAGTTGAAAGTGAGATAACAATGCATGTTTAAATATACCCAATGTTGCAAGAGATCTAATAGCAGCAAGTATTCCAGTCAGTTGGGGCTTTGAACATGAACGCTCTTCTGCCAATCAATTTTTTAGCAGAGGGGACAGAGAAATAAATCTGAACAGAATGTCTAACTTGATGATTTGGTGAGTAGGGTACAAAATACTGCTTTAAATAAGGGGGATAGTTAAGATAAATGCATTTTAATATCAGCTGAAGCCAATGCGTGTGTCATTTCTTACATGTTGTCCCTTAGAAGGGGTTCTCATAACTTGTGTATCAAAGGGTTAACTATACATACAGTTAATTAGGGCTACAGCTGGCTATGCTACAGCAGGTTATCGTTGGTGCCAGTTTCATTGCTCATATAACCACCAGATGGCACCAGAGAAGACGTTATTCAATGATACATTCAGTGACAAATGCCTAGTGAAAAATTAGCAAAATGACCCATTGCATTGGTTTAAAAGAAAATGGAATGTGGAGAGACTTGAAGAAGAAAATGTTGTGAAGATAAAACAGTATTCAGGGAATGGAAAATAATTGCATTTAAAGGCAATATTGAAAGTCGCTAAATTGTGGGGGAATGCACAAGGAGCACATAATCACTAAGATTGTCATGTATGTTCTTTACATTAAAAGTGAAATCCACCTTCCTTTCACAGACGGTGTTCGTAAATGGTCCTGAGACCGGTGCATGTCTGGAAGTCCCGCCAGGAAGTCAGTACAGTGTTAAGATCAGAGCTAAACCTAATGGGTTTATTTACTCAGGCCACTGGAGTGACTGGTCAGATGTGCTGACTGGTGAAACCCCTGCTGACGCAGGTAAGCTCATACTGAGACTGACAAAGATTTGACACACATTTATTTGTAAAAGTCACAACAAAATAGGAGTAGATTTTTAGTCTGTGTGTGTTGCTCTGATTAAATCAAATCCTAATTGCTGTTTAAATCACATTTACAGGCAAACTGCTCATTCTGTCCATCCCTGTCGCCCTGCTGATAATGGCCATCATTGTCATCTCCTTGTTTCCCACGTACCTCCGGTAGGACTGTTGTTCCTCATCTTTTAAGATTTAAGAATTTTGAGGACTAATAATAATTTGAGACCAAAAAATATTGATAATATTATGATGAATTTCCACATTTCTTATCCTTTTCTCTACATCTTTGCTCTATGTGTGTTTATACTGTAGTAAGCTCAAGCTGTATTTTTGGCCACCAGTGCCCAACCTTGATAAAGTCCTCCAAGGTTTTCTGACAGACCTCGACGAACAGAGATGGGTAAGTTATCTACATTATTTAACATGCTGCATTTACCATTTGGTTACAAGTGTACTGTATCTAAGCAACGTGTATGCAACATTGCATCACTTGAACATAACATATTTTCCCCCAGTGAAACATGGTTTGGGTTCATTACTAATTTAGCCATAAAGATACAATATAAATATAGAGGTATATAATATATAATTGTAATGACATGAAATGTGTTCATACACTGAACAAAAATATAAATGCAACACTTTTGTTTTTGCTCCCATTTTTCATGAGATGAACTCAAAGATCTAAAACATTTTCTATATACACAAAATAACCATTTCTCTCAAATATTGTTCACAAATCTGAAAAAATCTGTGATAGTGAGCACTTCTCCTTTGCCGAGATAATCCATCCCACCTCACAGGTGTGGCATATCAAGATGCTGATTAGACAGCATGATTATTGCACAGGTGTGCCTTAGGCTGGCCACAATAAAAGGCCACTCTGAAACGTGCAGTTTTGCTTTATTGGGGGGGTCCGTTTTAACCCTCCTTCACATAGAGTTGATCAGGTTGTTGATTGTGGCCTGTGGAATGTTGGTCCAATCCTCTTCAATGGCTGTGCGAAGTTGCTGGATATTGGCAGGAACTGGAACACGCTGTCGTATACGCCGATCCAGAGCATCCCAAACATGCTCAATGGGTGACATGTTAGGGTTAGGGTTAAAACGGACCCCCCCAATAAAGCAAAACTGCACGTTTCAGAGTGGCCTTTTATTGTGGCCAGCCTAAGGCACACCTGTGCAATAATCATGCTGTCTAATCAGCATCTTGATATGCCACACCTATGAGGTGGGATGGATTATCTCGGCAAAGGAGAAGTGCTCACTATCACAGATCTTTTTCAGATTTGTGAACAATATTTGAGAGAAATGGTTATTTTGTGTATTTAGAAAATGTTTTAGATCTTTGAGTTCATCTCATGAAAAATGGGAGCAAAAACAAAAGTGTTGCATTTATATATTTGTTCAGTGTACATTGAATAGGTGAACAAATAAATTTAAAATATAACATGAATATTGTGTCAGTGTAAACATGTTGCTATTTGTGCTACAGAATCCACCAATAACAGCAAAGCAATGCTCTGAGGAAACCACGTCTTCTGTGCTGGAGATCATTTCTGAAGATGAGGGTTCAGTAATGGGGAAGCCCTCAGAGGGATGCACCCCGCTCCTGTCAGAGAGACACCTCTGCAGTGGAGGACAGATTGAAGGGACCGGAGTCTTCTCAGATTATGTGACTCTGAACAAAGATAGTATCATTCTTTGCCCAAAAGGAAACAAGTATGTCTACGAGGAGGTTGGACCGAAAGACAGTCCAGGGGTGAGTGATGAGCTCCTCTCAGTCAGTCTGACCGCCTGCTCAGGCAGTGACTTACTGAACCGTTCCTACCTTCCTCTGTCTGCAGACACACCCGACTGCAAGCTCACTGATGCAAGGGGGCCAGGCAACCTCTATACTAATATCCCCTGTAGCTAAATGTACAATTAAGGTTCTTTGTATCCACTTGTGTAGGTTAGATTTAAACCTTCGTATTGACATAAAAGCATAGCACTTATGGCTTCAAACTAGACCGTTTTACCATATATTCAACATTTCTATAATTGTTGTAGATAGTTAAGCATACCATATTGTTTTTATATTTGTAATTCTACATAATACTGCTGTGTCTTTATATCCACTAGAGAGAACAGTAGATCCAGGATACACTCAGTGACTGTATTGTTTGGTACTGTATCTGTTAACATAATTACCATGTTTTACTGTTCTGGGGTTAGACTATCAAAAAAAGTATGAGGGATTGGGAATATAACATGATGTGAATGTTTTGAGTTTGAATTTTATGTTTAAACATTCATAGGAAAATATGAAATATGTAAAAATACTTTCTTTTTTGTGAATGTACTTTTTTTTTAAATAAATTATCTGCATCTGGAATTTTTTTTTTTCTATAGATCTTATTCATTGATACAGTTTGTTTTATATTGATATAATCTATACATATTTATTGTAGATTCCTCTGAGTCCTATTTGAGGTTGGAGTGTTTGCTTGTAAAAGACAAAACAAGCTTTTAGTTCATTATGCATTACATTATATCTTGAGGGTTTGTATTACAGGCAATATAGTTTTTTGCATTTTCTGTGAAGGCACTTAACATAACGTAAATGTCAAACTAAAACATAGGAGAAGCATGGACATTTGAACTGATTTGAGCAGCTTGCTAGACAGCAGCTTGTCTTGATTACTATCAAACAGCAACTGAACTGTCTTGAGCTTAGATGCAGACCCTATTTATGTCTGCCTTACAATTTAGGTTTCACTAGGTGGTAGCAGAGATCAGCAGAAATGGGTTGCCTCTGGGTTGTCATGGCCAGTCCTGACTGAGAAAATGCTAGGTTATTCTACACAACACAAAAATTAGAAAACAGTTAGATTTTACATTTGTTGATGAATCCTCCTGATTTATACCAACCTTCCTACCCTCCTTGAGCTTTATTTGTGTTAAGAGTATGTCAAAACCATAAACAAAATATGAATTGAAATTACATTTGTAACCATGACATGACAGATTAGTTAACCTTCATAACTGGGGCCTGAACAATAAAAAAAACACACAACACAGGTGAATGCTAGATGATTTATTACATGAAGTAGACGAAAAGCTAATTTTACGATGATTCAAACAATTTTACTCACAACTTGCATGAAATCCAAGAGCCCTCAGTTGGAATAAGAGCAACCAAAACAACATGACTACTGTAGTGAGTGAGGGGATTAGTAAGAGGAGAAATAAACCTTCAACAAAGTCAGCACACATTTTCAGCCACAGTTACTCACAGACCTGCCAGCCAAGAACCAAACCTGTATTAAATGTTCTGAATCAGCGCCGATAGGAACATCTCATTCTGCCACAAAGCTGCACAACCAACGAGTGATTGGAGCAATGTGAGATAAAATCCAATGGTTGACTAATCAGGAAGCCTAATGATGTATTTGTTCAATTTGACAGTGACAACACATGTAGCCATCATTGCATTAAGTGCAATGTACTGTATATAGGACTCCATGTGCAGATCTTATCCCTGGCTTTTAATGACTGGTCTGGCCTTATGGAGTAACTGCGTGAGAATCACAACTGGATGCTCTGCAACTATTCTATCACCTCGCATCCAGCCAGCTGTAAAATATACTACTAGTGTCACACTTTAACAGCAGGCCATCACATCTACAGCGTTCGCCAAACTGTATGATATCATGGCCATACATTTGCCCGGATTGTCTATGAGGCAATAGCAGAGGAGCGGAGAGGGCGATTGTTTAGAGTTAGGCAGAAAGACAGAGAAAAGTTTAAGAGTCAGTGTTTACTGGTGAACAAGCATCTCCTCCCAACAGGAATTCTTTCCATGTTTCATCACTGCCCACTTGCCCAAACGCCAACGTCTACAGAGGGAGTTTGAATCACCTCCTGATGTCATTTCCTCAACTTTCACTTACAATCACATTGAGAAAAAACATGGTTTTACATGTACAGTATATAGTACAGTATTCAAGATGTAAAATCTACAGGCTTCAAATGGGGATTCAGCAACAACAGTGATAAGGCCACCAAAACAGAACTCATTAACATCCTTAAGACTCGTGTTTGCACCTACCATTGTGGAGACATATGGAAACACACCAAGCTGTTAGCTTGTTCTTCATGCCAAGTGCAAAACTCTCACACTGCAGTCACATTTGGTGCTATTGGATTTAGTGTAATAGACATCAGTCTCACAGCATGCTCCCATTCAGTTTGAGTACAAACTACCAGACAGGGAACACAAAGAATCAGTGTAATCAATAACAGGCAGAACTAATGGAGTGAGAACACAACAGTGCCTTTACAATCATTCAGCAGGAGAGACATTGTGTGTTTCATACAGACTTTACATTTAAATTTAGAGAAGCAGGGGTGTTGGAATAAATGAAAGCTAGGGTTTTATAATGAAGACATTCATTTCCCACACAGGCGGCTTCTCTCTCTCGTCCGTAGGGTTGGCACAGAATCTGAACATTTGCATCCCCACATGAATCGAAACAAAGGCTCATTAGGAGGGATGCCAAAAGGCTCTGAAAATGGTACAGGTGGTCCTTATAGAATACATTAACAGGCTACTGGTTGCTAGCTGGTGGAAAGGCATGAAAAAGGTGACAAAGATGCAAACCCCCAATGAAGTATGTTCAACAGGAAGTTTATCTGTCAGTTCTTAGTCAAAGGCCTGCATTGCAACTCAACTAAAAGTACTCAATGTGGCAACTAAAACATTTTATCAAACTGATCCATCAGGTTTTATTGGTCCAGTGCTATACAGTATACTGTAGATCTCTTAAGGTGTTCAAAACTAAACTATTGGTTTGCAGGTTTCAGAGGGGCTTAATGTGGCACATTAGAACCCCTCTGATCTGGGATCTGATCATTTAGTAGCTCATAAAGATTATATTATTATTTTTGTGCATTCATCCTTTTATCATAGTGATAGTGGAGAGACAGATGAGACACTTACTGTTTAGGACAATAGTGCCAATGTGGTATGTGCCATGACCACTCAGCTAGTGGGTCATCCTGAACCAAATGTTTATAATTTGTAGACTCTTTGGAGTAAACACGATCAAAAAACATATATAGCTTAACATGGGGAAAACCCATTATCAAACCTCCCAATTAGTTTTCTTGGATTGCATTGAGCTTTAATTAGAAAAATGTAAAACTAAAAAATCTAGATTTTAATAATAATGATTCTAATGTAATATACTATTTCTTTAAGAGACAACATTAACCGAATGTCTTTCAAGTAAACTGATCTATTCACAATTTTGTTAACTTAAATGTTAGTTTTTGTTGCCTATCCTTCCTCTAAGTACCAAAATAGATTAGCTAAACCTTGGGATCCTTAGTGATGTGATACAGGCTCCACTTGGGTACCATGCACTCAGAGACCCCCTGCTGAGCGGCTCAGATGTCGGCCCTCTTGGTGATTAGCACCGAGCAGCATGTGAGGGCTCCGTCCAGCTTGGCCTTCTCCATGTTGGACACCGGGATCAGCATGTGGTCCTTCAATTTCTCGAACACCTGCGGGACATAAAGACAGGGCGTCAATGGAAAAAGTGACATCCTGCTCTTTTAGATTCTTTACACTTCATGAAAGCTTATTATAAAAGGATGTCATCTCAAATTCAAGGAAACACAGTGTTCAGCCAACTATTACTGAATAAAGATGTCGTAATGCTATTATATACAGTATTTGGGATTCAAGAAGCTGCATTTCTACATTAAAAAAAAGTTATCAAATGCAAAATAGATATTGTCATGGCAACAGCTGTTCCTGTTCTGCCTCCTGACTGAGAGCCAGTGTTGCAGGTATTGACCAGCCACTACTATAACAAGCCCTTGAGAAAAATCTGAAGTACAGCACAGTTGGCAGTCGTTAAACTGCAAGGGGGAACTTACGCAACACTTAAGCTTGTTTACTCTACTTGTCAACTTGTAATGTTCTGTGATATAAACGCCCTGCAGAGAGACACAAAATGTGAAGCTGGAGTAGAAGCATTTGAGAAAGTTTCTTGGTCGCCCCGCAAAATATATTAAAAAAAGATGGGAGTGAAAACTATTACGACATTCTCAAAAGACCCTTGTAAAGTAGTGTGTCACCCTGTGGACATTTTCCAGGAGAAAAACTGTGTTTTCCGACCACGCTTCCAGGATATTTCTCTCTTTAAATTCTCATTTCAAGTCTGCTGTGATACTGAGCGAGGCCTTGCAGCACAGCCAGAGGGACCAGCTAAACAAATTCTTATCTCATGATGCAATATGGCTGACGAAGCCTCTGGTGATCCAAATGCCATGTTTAAAGACACAGCTGTCATGTGACTTATAACTCTTTTTCCTACCCGAGAAAGTTGGGTTGCAAGTGTGCAGATCAGGGGCCTCATTTATAAAGCCTTGCGTAGGATTCACGTGGGAAGGTTGCTTACGTAGGACAAAGCAATTCATAAAACACTGCGTACCGGCGTAGGACTTGCGTGCGGCACGTCCTACGCTGGTTTCACTTTATAAATCACAATCAACTCGAAATGCGGCGCAGCTTTTGCGGGCTTCACGTAGCGCCCATATTTGCCTATAAATAGTCAAAGAAACACCCATTCATTCATTCTGACTGACTGCATGAAGAAGATCGCAGGGAATGATGACAGAACAGCTAAAAAAGACATCTCACACCGTGTCAGATTTAGGTTATTTTGGGAAGGTCGAGACAAATCACATTGTTTGGTGGGTCCAGTTTGAACCAGAGTAGCAGCATCGAGGTCGGATCGTCACCAAAATAAATAAATACACTGAACAAAAATATAAATGCAACACTTTTGTTTTTGCTCCCATTTTTCATGAGATGAACTCAAAGATCTAAAACATTTTCTACATACACAAAATAACCATTTCTCTCAAATATTGTTCACAAATCTGAAAAAATCTGTGATAGTGAGCACTTCTCCTTTGCCGAGATAATCCATCCCACCTCACAGGTGTGGCATATCAAGATGCTGATTAGACAGCATGATTATTGCACAGGTGTGCCTTAGGCTGGCCACAATAAAAGGCCACTCTGAAACGTGCAGTTTTGCTTTATTGGGGGGGTCTGGGGGGGTCCGAAAACCCTAGGGTTAAACCCTAACCCTAACCCTAACATGTCACCCATTGACCATGTTTGGGATGCTCTGGATCGGCGTATACGACAGCGTGTTCCAGTTCCTGCCAATATCCAGCAACTTCGCACAGCCATTGAAGAGGAGTGGACCAACATTCCACAGGCCACAATCAACAACCTGATCAACTCTATGCGAAGGAGATGGGTGACATGTTAGGGTTAGGGTTAGGGTGGAGTCAATTAATGTTTATTATTTTATTTGGTGGTTTGTGTTCCAGCTGATCAGCTGTCGATCAGCTGTGCGCAGCGTCTCCACTGCAGCCTGTGCGTCTCAACCCCCCGCAGCAACTCTATATCCACCAGTTAAAGGAAATACAACTAATGTGTTGTGTTATATTAGCTGCCAAATCTACCAAATATATGGTGTTCTTAGTTTCCATACCTCCTGTGTTTTATGAGCGACTTATCAAGTCTTAGCAAAAAGCATTAAAACATGATTAAACATGATAGTATATAAAACCATGCTCGTATCAACCTATAGAAATGCAAAACGGCCTCAATTTAGACGTAATTCTGTCCTCCTGCATACCGCATCATTTATGAGAATACATGTCATAACATTAACACAACATATTCCAGGTGGTTTTCAATAACATTTATATGTATATATATTATATATATATATATATATATATATATATATATATATGTATATATGTATTTCTCCCAGTTATGTTTTTGTGTGCACTGAGGAGTCTCAAACAGGCGTTTGTTTAATCATTTTAAGATTGGCTTTAATCAATGTTTGCAAAGGAATTCTTCATATATGATAAATGAGAGGTAACATTTTATTTATTGTATTTTCCACATATTTCTCTCCATTCTTCCTTCTGCCTACGGTGTCGCAGTTTCTCGTCCCTCCCGTTTTTGTGCAGTGCGTACGCATGGGTCAGAGTTTGCGTGGAGGACCGCACATTTTCCCGTCAAGTTAGTTTTTTATAAATCGCAAACATTGCTTAGAAAGTGGCGTACGCCATCTTTTGAGCGTACGCACCGTTTATAAATGAGGCCCCAGGGCCCTCATCAAGTAACTTAAACTATGGCAGAGTGCCAACATACAGCTCTGTTACAACATTATACCACTTTCAAATATGGTGTTCATGCTTAATTTTATATATATATCTATTCATAATATGTAATATATCTATATAAATGTTTCCCAAAAAATTGTCAGCTATATGGTGACGGCAGAAGGACCACTGAACACATCTGAACAAGTGCATTTCTAGGTATGCTGTTGGGGGGCATATTATTAATGTGTGAGTAAACATTACACTATGTTATTCCGACACTAAGGACAAGTGACTGAGAGGGTTGTTAAAATTGCGGTAGCCACAGGTCGCCCCAGCTTGGCACACCGGGAGTGGTGCACAAGAAACAGTTTGAGGAATCAAGATTTGGAAGAACCCAGTGACATCGCCATCCAAAAAACTGTTTTCAGACCACGTGACCACAGGGTCAACTCAGGGAAAGTTTTGTATAATTCCCCCAAAACAACCCTACCAACCCCCCTGCTGTTTATAGCATCTCCACCTCCAATGTGTCTCTTTTTCTCATTTTCAGAGTTCTCATTACTGCAGTAGATATTTATATGTTGGGTCAACGGGTGGCATGGTCCCAGACAGTAGGAGCAGCTATATTTCACTCAGCCTTTTGTCTGCACGGTTTCTTTATCTATAAACCGAGCTCAGGCCGTCGCCACTTCTAACCATTAAAGATGCCCCGTCTCCACTCCCTTACTCCCACCAATCCTCCCTCATGACCCCCTGCCTTTGTTAAAGGGGAACTCTTATGTAACTTCACAAGCAGACTAAAAATAGACCTGAAATTCCTGCAGTCTTGCAGAGTTAATTGTGCTTAATCTCATTGGAGGAAGAAGCAACAAGTTCCCTGGGAAACGGGTACAAACTCTGGATTTGCAGAAAAGCAAGGCATGATAATCAACTATCAACTATATGCTATTCATGTTTTTCCACTTTCTTCTAACAGCAATTCCTTAAACACAGGTTTGGTTCAAATGGGTTCTAGGCAAATGCTTGGTGGGTCTGAACATTATAAAGGAAACTGGATCATGGAACAAACTTACATTCCTCAAATATTGCTCTAAATGGTCCGTTAAATAGGTACTTCCTCTGCAGGAAGCAGAATATACACAAATAGATTTTATTATGCTCAAGTTGAATTCCCAGTTAATCTTTCTGGAAAAAACTGAGCCTTCGTTGTGACTGTAGGTCTGAAGACGTATCATTTTGTGAATTCTTCCCTCTAAAAATAGCTAGCGGAGGATAGGGGTTTTAACCACAGAGTACATTTGAGGTCTGAGCACTGTCTCTGCAGATTGTAGGGTGCTGGGTTTGATCCTGTGAGAATCCGTTTGACTTGATGTGAAGAGGAGTGACCCCAAAGCACCTCAGTTAAACGGCTACTGCTGAACCGTGCCAAACCAACAGGCAAAGTGAGACAATAACATGTCATTTATGAACTACTGTGGAAGCCAATGTGTCATGTGTTACAGTAAATGCACATCTTGTGGTTTTAAAAAACTGAAGAAAGAGTGTATGTCAGGAAGACATTTCAGAAAGGGTCTTGTGTTCAGGTAATGAGACACTGAGATGAATTTAGCCAGGTACATTAAGCCAGCATACAGTACTTAACAGTTTAACAGGGCACATGCTATAAGGACTAGAAAGTGGTCGGACTAACACATCAATATTTCTTTGAAATTACATAATGAGTTCCTGAAAAAGTACCAACTTGGCCACCATAGGTGAAAAAAGACAATGTTCTGTCTGACAGAAAGTAACTTTACTGCTGTGCCTGGAAATTACACTTATGACAGTGGTGAGCCCAAACAGTAAAGCTGTGGGGCTAAAAGCATGTCTTAAAGACTTTATGTTGAGATTCAGAGATTGATTTGGGTATATTCAAGATTGTTTTTAAATCAACTAACTGTAAAAGTTGTGAGGAAAAAGACACCCAAAGTTTCTGGCAAAAGGTCACTACACATAAAAACTGTAAGTTCCTTTTGTTATAAAACGCAGTGCTGGCTGTGGCTGACCTGCAGCGGTCTGTGTAAAATTACCACATACTGTAGATTCTGCAGGCTTTGTTTATCTCAGAGGTCTGGACAGGATGGAGAGCAACAAAGGCAAGTGCTCTTTAAATGTAAGCCACTAAACCAGTCTGGCTGTCCTTTCTCCCAAGGTGTAACCTCAGGATTGTAAAGGAGAGTGTGATTGTGTGTGAGTCACTGTGGAAGTGAAATGAATTGAGGATTACCGTGACACTCTCTGGAAACTCCTCTGCAGTGGGGTGAAGCAGCACATGTCCCTTATTGGGTAGGTTCATGTAGAGGCAGTTGGCAGCGAGGTCATCAGGCAACGTCAGTTTGTCGTAGCGATGGTCACTCATTTGCTGCATGATCTACACACAAAGATAGAACACACAAAGGAAATAGCTTTTAGGTAAACAGGCAGTTTGCAGTGCACATGACTTCCAGACTCAGACAGAAAACATTACGTTATTCAGACTATCAGGTATTTTCATTCTGAAGCAAGGCCCAATACCAAAAGCAGCACTGCGTCTTTCTGCTGGCCAAACCGCTCTCGGGGGCCTAGGGGGCCTTAATGGAGAACACAGGAGCAGACAGACATTCTTTCTCAGCAGATGTCATGTTATTTATGTAATCTGAAGGGGTTGAAGGTAGGACAGGAGGTGGGGGAAGAGAGGCAGAGAAGACGCCCATGTTGCCAAGTGGAAGTCGGCGGGTGAGGATGTTATGAACAGAGGAGAGGCAGGTGCCTCTTAATGTTTATGAGCAGAACATCTGTGGACGGATACCTCAGAGACAAAAAGGGGAGGGGAGGTGGAATGGAAGAAAAAAAAATCTAAAAGCGTCAACATTCAGGAAAGGTATTTTGAGAAGGTAGATCTTTTCACCAGATATAGTGTAGACTCCTCTGTGCTTTTCTAACACGCCTCTTCCTGTTTTTATCTTTAGTTTTTAATTGGCGAGAGGAGTTGAATCTTTTGAATCATGATTAAAAGAACAAAAAAAATCACTGTTGACATTTTAATTTCAATAATGTGGATTAGATTTTTCTCATAAAATCCACACACAGGGTGGGGAAAACAGTGAGGTTGGTGAGCACAATGGGCTCTGTTGCTATAGAGAATGTATTTCCACTTCCCACTAGAGGGCTTTTCCTGTGTGATAAAGAAAGAACTTACGTTGCATTATATTATTTGCATAATTACCAGAACAAAGTCACAGTCCTTGGATACTAAAAACGGAGTTATTGTCAAATAAATAGATCTGACTGATCCAACCCAGGAGCAAATGTGCTGTTTCAAGTACTCTGCTGGGCTTTCATGACAAATCTATTTGGCACACAGGAAGTAACACATTTTATGTTTCTGGCAGCAGCAACAGTTCTTGGTTGGAATAAATAAAAGACCAATCTTGTGGTTAGTATGATGATCACTATATCCCACCATTAAAAAGAAACACAAGGAAAGCGTTCGACTGGACCTGTTTTCAAATGAGCGATCTCTGGGAAGTGCTTGCAAAGTACTCAAAAGCAAAACGTTTACAGCACACCAGTATGTCCTAGCAGGTTAGACATACGTTTCTTTGATGAATAAACAGTAAATGAACGGTAAATCAAATGTTCTTCCTACAAGCTGCGATGGCCATTTCTGAGTACATGCTGTGTGAGCCTACTGTGCGTATGTGTATGTGTAATCTGACCATACATTCCCAGGTCACTTGTGGGTGTGTGCAGCAGCCCTCAGTGAAAACAATGTCCATGCGCATGACCGCTAACATTGTCTCCCACACAGCTGTATTCAAAATGGAAGAGGGGAGAATAAGCGTTGACTCTACCAAATATCACAGTTCCTGCTTCACTCAGAGTCCCAAATACATCTTATTCCCCACCCAAAACAACTATAGGTTTAAGGGATATGTCCTACAGCTCATTGTGGGTTTTTTAATGTTCTGATTCATGAAATGCAAATAAATCTTGAGATGTTTTTAAGATAACAGTTTGTTCTCCTGGCATCAATGCCTAGGGGTATTACTGTTCAATATAAGGCCAGATAACTATCTCAAGTATCATTAATACTGAAGATGTTTTTTATTATTTTTATCTCAGGCCCAAGAAATACACAATTAAGGGTAGGATTATCTTGGCTACGGTATGATTTTAAGACATTTTTGGGCAAGATTTCCAGATGTTTTGCTAACATCAATCGTCAGCCTGTCATTATTATTATGCCTCAAATTTGTGGTGAAAATGGACAACCAAGACTTCTACAGTACACCATCACCCTGGCCATCGACCAGACATAAAGCTTCAGCCAATCAGCATCAACCTACATCTGGGCTGTTGCCGGGGTCCAGTTAATTCACGAGTGGTAACTGTGCTCAGTCAGAGCTGCTGAAACACAATATTTACTGGAAGGTAATTAAATCCCCTCTGGGCAATCTCCCCCAGTTAACAAATACATTGACACATTTTCTGGACCTGATGCGGCTCACAGTGGTCATCTAGATAATCTGTATTTTGCCGCCTAATATGAATATGTATAATGCTCATTGTGGTAATCCTTCCCAGGAAGCCTTTAAAAGTTTTACAATACTTTTTTCAGTGATGAACAACAGCAGCATGACACATCAAACTTGAGGCCACTTCCAACTACTGGAGGGGAAATACAAATGGTTACTGTTGATGTAAGATAAATGTTTATTTCACTACTTTCGATACTGTTGGACTACAAGGTTGACTCACAAACTCAATAACATCATCAGTGAGGAAAGCCAGTTCTCAGATGCCATATATGGTCCTTTTCCTGATATGAAACAGGCTGCCTAGCTCATCCTTTTTTCTTAGCCACGATACCGGTGTGACACTAGGAAAGAGAATGTCCTCTAGTCAGCTGTCCAGCAATGAACTAAATATCTCAAAACTATAGATTAGATTGCCATTCCCTCAGGGTTAAGTAAATCACTTAAGTCCCTGGAAGAAATAAAGCCAAAATTCCTAGACCTATATCTAAATAATCAACAGCATAAAGTACTAGATAACGCATCAATGTGTTTATCAAAATCAAATATCACCATTCTGAATACAACCTTCACAGGGTTGTCATCTTGTTGTGTTATAAATAAAAAGTCCTTGATGTGAAGACAAAGCCCTGACCAGGCAAGAAGAATGACCTCATGAATCAAACAAGGGCTGAGTGAACGAAGGGCTCTCTGGTAAACTAGATCTGGCCTCTGCTATAGGGAGGGAGGTGTGAGAGGGAACAGGGAGTGGGTGCTGCAGCCTCTGACAGGAGGCAGTATTTTGGGATGATGACTTCATGAGTGAAGTTTGGCAGTGACAGCGGCATGGATGATGAAATCCATCCGGTCAACGTGTATTCCCATCCACGGGAGAGCTAAACACAGACTGGAGACTACACATGGCGTACACTTATACACATTCTGAGCACACATCCCGGATAGAGACAAAGCCAAACTGCTGAACAGAGTGAAAATGAACAGCCTTATTAACCAGATGTCAGTGAGATATACATAGACAGACCTCACTCTGCCAACAGGCCAGGGTCTCTTTTCTTAACTGAATATTTTATAGCAGCAACATTCTAGCTCCCTAGACTGTTTAAATTAGTCAGGCTCCAGCTTTAATTGGTTCACATTGTCCAAGGGTATACAACCTCATTGCCATAAGAGCTGCATTTACATCCAACACAAGCACTTTGAATGAATTAAAACAGCATACATGAGATTTCACCCCACACCCCAACAACGAGAACATTACCTAATTACACATCCACGGTCGTTAAAGGTCCTTTAAAACAGGAGCTAATCGCTCCAAGAGAGGGTGACGTAAGCTGTAATTAGAAAAGCTCTGTCATTTAGTCTCGCTGACGGCCCCTCCGCGCCCCGGCAGCTAATCTCTGGTGTGATCAAACAGGCAGGAATTTTAATGAGTCGATGCTGGGATATAGAATTTATGAGAACATGTGGTAATGCATACATTCTTGACGTCTTGTGTACACTTCCGCAATGCAAACATGCATACAAAACCAGCAAGTCTGACCATGTGCTGCTCTATAAAGTATGTTGGGATGTGCTGTCAGATGGTCTGGTTTCAATTGCCCCTTCTGACATACACCAAATGGCTTTCACTTGACTTAAAGTACCCTTCTGTGGAGTTGGGCCAGTAGGGGGAGATATCACACTAGGAGGCAAATGAAAGGTCCTGCCAGCAAGGACATTTAAAGGCCAAGTATATATATGTGTGTGTGTGTGTGTGTGTGTGTGTGTGTGTGTGTGTGTGTGTGTGTGTGGCATTACTTTTGAAATCAAACATATTACCCGTGTGTCACAACATTGATGTACATATTCACCTGCATTTACCCCTATGTGCCGTATAAAGTTCACATACAGTCCTATGTGTTGATGGTTGTACATTTTATGGGATAATTCCTTCAGAGGAATGGACTGAGCCTTATTATCCTATTTGTGTCTCCTTAAGGGTCCTTTAGTCCTTTAGCATTCCCTAGTTTATTTTACAAGGACTTTGGTAGTAATCGATTCAGAAAGCCTTTTATTAGATAACGAACTCAAGCTTTTAAATGCAAGGGCAATATCTTTGTAATTAAAGCTGGAGTGAGAGCGCCTGTAGCGATCCCCTCCGATTAGCTGAGAATATGAATTAATGAAGAAGGTGACAGGTGGTCTCAGTGTGCTTGCAGTGGGAAACAGCCATAGAGTTGTAAGTAAGGGAGTCTACTCTGAATCAACACGTGTGATGTCCTGTCTTGTAGTGTTATTCTTGCTGAATACTTTGCAGAGCAGGAAAAAAAAAAAGGATAGACTCGTTAATACCAACAGCGTCAAGCCAAGAGTCAAAAAAATCAGCTGCAATGTGCGTCATAGTTATAAAAACAATGCCATTACATTGATTCAGTGGTTTCTATGACTACAGCTGGGGGAAGCACAGCATGGGATGATGCTTTTACTGTACATACAACTCATACAAACACAAACTCCATACTTTGAGGGTCTTCTGTGCGTGTTCACTGGAGCCAATGAGGATAAGGCCTGGTCCTCCCATGCTGCAGAAGCTTTTCAGGTGAAGCCCTTCCAGCACAGGCACGGTCGACACAGCATAGTCCTGCAACAACACAATCCAATTACGGTAGGTGAAGCAAAGACTGAATATGAAGATAGGACAGACTCAGATAATAAACATATATTGTAATTAAAAACACCTATATCTACAGTATGGTCAAACTGTAGAGCTGGGATCAATTTAAAATACTTTGGGTTTGTGGTGTCAAAAATGAAGATCATGTGATAATATAATCTATAATTATATCTACCGTAGATAACTATATTACAAAAATATAAAAAGCAAGGGTTGGATTGTACAGGGATTATAAATTAAGTTTATTTCCTCCTTTCTCAGTGTCAGTGCTTCAAAATCCTGTTGGACCACAACAAAGCGCTGTAAATTCAGTCGGTGTAGGTGAAATTATGGGATGCTATGTTTTTTATAAAAGATTCAAAGAGCACTCGGTCTTAAATGGCCTTTAAAAACAAGTATTGGGCAGTTCAGGGGCGGAAACAGCAGGAGTGTCTGGGAGATGATGTTCCTGAGCCCAGGGCTCACAGGTACAGTTGCAAGAAAAAGTATGTGAACCCTTTGGAACTACCTGGATTTCTGCATAAATTGGTCATAAAATGTGTTCTGATCTTCATCTAAGTCACAACAATAGACAAACACAGTCTGCTTAAGCTAAAACCACACAAACAATTATATGTTTTTAGGTTTTTATTGAACACACCATTTAAACATTCACAGTGCAGGGTGGAAAAAGTATGTGAACCCTTGGATTTAATAACTGGTTGACCCTCCTTTGGCAGCAATAACCTCAACCAAATGTTTCCTATAGTTGCATATCAGACCTGCACAACTGTCAGGAGGAATTTTGGACCATTCCTCTTTACAAAACTGTTTCAGTTCAGCAATATTCTTGGGATGTCTGGTGTGAATGGCTCTCTTGAGGTCATGCCACAGCATCTCAATTGGGTTGAGGTCAGGACTCTGACTGGGCCACTCCAGAAGGCGTATTTTCTTCTGTTGAAGCCATTCTGTTGTTGATTTACTTCTGTGCTTTGGGTCGTTGTCCTGTTGCATCACCCATCTTCTGTTGAGCTTCAATTGGTGGACAGATGGCCTTAAGTTCTCCAGCAAAATGTATTGACAAACTTGAGAATCCATTTTTCCGTTGATGATGGCAATCTGTCCAGGCCCTGAGGCAGCAAAGCAGCCCCAAACCATGATGCTCCCTCCACCATACTTCACAGTTGGGATGAGGTTTTGATGTTGGTGTGCTGTGCCTTTTTTTCTCCACACATAGCGTTGTGTGTTCCTTCCAAACAACTCAACTTTGGTTTCATCTGTCCACAGAATATTTTGGAACATCCAGGTGCTCTTTTGCAAACTTCAAACGTGCAGATCAGAACACATTTTAAGACCAACTTATGCAGAAATCCAGGTAATTCCAAAGGGTTCACATACTTTTTCTTGCAACTGTATATTACAGAGAAACTTGTAGAAGCCTTATTGGAGAAGTTTTCTTTGGCTGCCGGATGTTGTGTACCAAATATGGAGAGGTTACAAAACAATGACAAGGGAATAGAAAATGACACAGACTTGCTAAAATCTTAAAGGGCCCTGAACACTTGTTTCAAATCCTAAAGGTATAGTCCAGAGTTTGTGAACAAACTTACCATTAAAACACAGCAGAACATTGCTTTGCTAGGTAATACAACTGGCTCTGGATAAGTAACTCACACAAAGCATTTCTCTATTATAATACATGTTTGCGACTCAACAATCAAAGTTCTAGATTCCAAATAACTTTTTGGGTTACAAAGTGTAAAACACTCATAATTGTAGCTAGCCTGCCTTATCAGGACTCCATGGATTATATTTCTGAATGAATGATATTGACACACTTACAGTAATTAACAGTAGCCTGGCAACATGAGCAAACAACATTACAACATTTATTGGGGCATTTTTCCTTTCCTTCCTTTAGTCATAAATATTAAAATACCTCATGCTAAAGGACCAAAGCTGTTAAAACAATGGCAGACTTTTAAGGGTTCAAGCAGGACCCCATCCCTCAAAGGAGGTCTAAAACTGCATCCGTATGGATTGATATATGGTGCATATTAGTGCAGCAAAGGATCATATATACAGTACTTTTAAAGCACATTCAGTATATAACTTATCTTTAGCCTTTTATAGAGGATTTTGGCAGACCCCTTCATTAAAATATCAGTTGCTTGTCTCCTTGTTAGCAATAGTTAAAGCCTAGGGTTATAGGGATATTTAGTATTATGTTAGAGTGTACTAAACAGAAACAACATATATTGTAACATATTATATAGCTGACTTTTTTTTGCGTACATTTACTACTTTGAGCTTTTGATGCATGGACCCACAGTTAGAATAACACGAACCCTTTTGTTAAATCGCAAAAGACATACAGTAGTTGAGTCCAACAGAGATTTGTAAACCTTGAAGTAATTCTGAGCTGTAATTTGAATTATGATAGGATATGACTTCAGGCTTATTTTCCATGACCTTCCTCCCTGATTTTAAGTGAATACTTTTATATAAGCATATAACATTTTGATTTGCATCTAAAAACTGACATCCATGTCTTTTTTTAAGCACATAATATGTTTTACAATTGTTAATTTAGCTCTTAGCTTCATAACACAAAAGTAGGGTGTACATTTTCCCTAGTTACACTTTTTTTTTTAACATTTTCCATTCAAGTTTATGTTAACACTCTTCAGGGCCAGTGTTTGTGCTGCATCATTAGCTCAATTAAAGCGTTATGATTCAATGAAATAGTTATTGTGAGTGAGCAGAACAGCATTTGGCAGATAATCGGAAGAAACTTAAATTACTCCATTCTGGATGTTTTCCTGAACTCTTTCCTGGCACTTGTTTTGAAGAAACAAAAAGGACAATTGGGAATTATGTAATCTGAACTTCCTCCACTCCTTATCCATGAACAGGAAGTTTTCTTGCAGTGCAAATTTAGAAATATGAGTAATGCTTTTTCTCCTTATCAAGATAAATCCTTAGGGAAGAGACAGAGTTGCTTTTGATCTGCACTAACAGGCGGAATTTACTGCCATGTGGTGACCTGAAAAGACCTTACTGAAAAACCCAGGAGCAGAACAGACTGGGCTTCACTCGGCAGAGTTTATGTCTGAATCCTATTGGTACAAGTTAGGAGTCAACACATCTGCAGGTGAAAATAAATAGTTTGGCCTCTGTATTACTTCTTCACGAACAAACTCATTCAATTCTATAGCACGGCCTGATCTGACCTCTGTAAGGACCGTAGAGAAAAGAGCTTTTGACATCTGTATGCAGTTGTTGAGTGCTAAACAAACCTGGCAACAAAGTGATCCTTAATTTGATAATGAAAGGAAAAAACAACATTGATAGCAGGTATCAATCTGATAAAAAACGGAAAAAACAATAATGGACGCTCAAGTGATTTTTCCTAGTGTCATTTGCCGGAGACGCATCATTAAGCTCTGTCTTATCAAAGATAAAAGAAAACACGGAGGAATCCATCATGAGGAATTCAAATCAGACACAGATGGGAAGAAGGAAGCACAGCCATCGGGCCTTTCAGGTTACCGTAATGTGTTGAACTCTTCATGCCATGACCCACCTCTGAACTTCTGAGTCAGCCCGCTTTTCTCTTTTGATTCAGTCTCTCAGAGCAGATCCAAGTGCATAAAGTCTGCAGTATGAAACCTTTTCACATTGCAATAACAGTAAACAAGACAGATATAATCAGTCTGGGTTGGTGACCCACACTGCGGCCCTGTTTGTAGGCTGCGTGACTAAGTACACGTTCTCCCAGTTTGCCTGAATCTGTGTTGTTTCAGTGGTGTTTGGGATATTATGCGCTATATTTCTTTTGGATGTGTGTCATGTGGGAGTGTTGATTGTTGAGCTCAGTTGCGGAAAACGAGGCCACAGCGCAATGTAATTACTGAGAGAGCAGTCGAAAAAGGAATAATATTGAAACCATTTAAAATATAAAACAACAACAACAAGGGTTGAAAAGAAACACAGACCAGGCTTATATACTGTTGTGTAGGCTGGTGATCGATTTATTTTATTTTACCATCAACAAATCCAATGGAAGGCCAAAACCACTCTCTGTGGCACTCAGCACACACCTTACTTGTTCCGACTTAGACAAAGATCTTTAAATAAGTCACAAATCTATAGTTTCATTGAAGAAAACAGACCGGATAAATAGTTTAATTGAAAAATCTTGTTTCTCCTCCCAAAATATTTCGAAGTACTTTGCATTTTTTGGTCATCAAATACATTATATATAAATATATATAGCCAGTAGGATGTTAAGAAGGGGTAACTTGATCTCTTAGAAAAAGTTTTGGTTTATATGAAGAGAATATAATCCACCTGGACCAGGGGTCTGCAACCCGCGGCTCTCGAGCCGCATGCAGCTCTTTAAGCCCTCTGCTCCGGCTCCCTTGAGCTTAGACAAAAATAAGAAGGAAATAAAATAAAAATATTTGTAGGACTATTTATATTTTATTGCATGGTTGAAAATGTTTCGTATCTTGTATTTTGAGGTGATACTGTGACACATAAATAAAAAACAAAAGGGTTTTAATTACAGTAGGTCAACTCAAATATGCGTCACATCCTGCTACGGTCCCCCACTAGCGCCTTTTCTTGCAGACGAATAACCTGACCCCCGGCTCGATGAGCGAACTATGGATAAATCAAAGAAAAGAAAAGTATTGGAGGAACGCAGAGGGTTTAATTCTGCGTGGTTAGAGTTATATGCTTTCAGAGCAAACGATGCTTACCGGTTTATTTGATATGTGGAGAGAAGTTGTCAAAGGTGCTGCAGCCTTTACGTATTGGAGGAAAAACACGGAAGAGGAAGACAGCTGACGATCTTCAGTCATAATTCAATCAGATAACTCTTTTT